GTCAATAAGACTAGCTTTAGATACTGTGCACTGTGTAGGTTTATTTATTTTTTATTAATAAGGAAAACTCAGACATCATCAGGATATTTTAGAATTCTAAAGACCTTAGAAAAATCACTAACTAGGTGCTTTTGAATAATTTGTCTTCAGTATTTTGTCTTTAAGTTGTAGAAAAGAGATCATTTTCTCATTTCAGTTTGATTAAACATCTTGGTTGGAAAAAATCACTAATTTACTACTACTTTTTAGAAGAGTTGTCATTTTTTAAACTGCACTACTTATAGCTAATCAAATGTTGTATTTATTATGTTTAAATAAATTTATAAATGATGTTTCTGAAACTAAAATTGTATTTTTCTTTAAGAAAATACTCTATGTAGCCCTAGCCAGTGTGGCTCAGTGGATAGAGTGTCTGCCTATAGACTAAAGGATCCCGAGTTCGATTCTGGTCAAGGGCATGTACCTCAGTTGCAAGCTCCTTCCCAGCCTGGGCCCTGGTCAGGAGGCAACCGGTTGATGTGTTTGTGACTTGTTTTTAAAAACTCCATACCTGGTCTGTGCTCTTGTGTACACAGTAAAGGAGGATTGTAGCTCTCTTAAATGACATCCAGCCTGACAATGCTCTAACCATAGGGCCACACCAGCCAGGGTTGTAGTTTGTATTTTTAAAGATCTTTACAATTCTTTATTTGGGGCAGCTCAGATAGGAGGGTAGAGGTGGTGGCTATTTTCAGTGGCTCTTAAAATCCCATGCCTTTCTTTTCTAGAACTTTGTTCCAATTCAAATGCACAATTCGAATCTTGAGAGTAGAATCTTGGTATTAGAGACACTAACAAGAACTTAGAACAGCTAACAGTCTGTGTCGAGAGCGAGAGAGGGACACGAGGCTTGGAGTAGCCGGAGGAGCAAGGAGCCCAGGCGGGAGGGTTTTAAAGCCTAGGATGTCACAGGAATGGGCCGGGTGGTGGTTGGTCCAGAGAGAAGACCGGGGGAGAGGAAGGTGCATGGAGAGATGAGAGGGTTCTCAGACACTTAAGAGGGGCCCAAGGGAGAGCTGCACTCCACCCGCCAGGCATAGTCAGAGCAGGCCTGGGCCCGGGAGAGAGGAGGGTCAGCCATTCTCGCCCCCAGGCAGATCCAGGTCATTGCTTTGTCAGTCTCCCACTCAGGAAAAGAGATTGCGAGTGGAATCACTTTCAACCTGCTCCCACTTTTTTTCCTCTCCCACTTTTTTAAAGTAAAATATTCATCCACGAAGAAGAACATTACTTGCGCCTGCGTCAGGACAGCTTTCCTCCAAACACCCGCATTTGCTGCTAGCTCTGGCAGCACAGTGTTTGAAAACTGCTCATCTGAGATGAGCTGCCTTCTAGGTCAGGCCTGGAGAAGGCAAGCCATGTGACCAGGACACCACAGTGAGATCTCCTACCTTGTGCTGGTGATCGGACCAGATGACCTTTAGATTTCCAGGTTAACTTGGTGAAGATTACAGTTAACTAGTTGGTAGGTCGTGATTTAAGAGAGAGAGAGTCCCTCACCCCAGTCTCATAATTCTTTCTTTGCCTGTTCTGTGTGACCCGTCAGCTGAAGGCTTTGTGTATCTCAGTGAAATACAGTGTCTTAAAAACATTTTATATTTCAAACTCACACGAGATAGGTCGAGTACAATGAACCCCTGTATTCCATCATCCATCTGTAACAAACATCAACCCATCGACACACTTATTTTGTCCTTATTCTTACCTATTACCCGTCCACATGAAGTTATTTTGAAGCAAAAATCATATTTAATCCATAAATATTTTAGTACATACCTCTAAAAGATAAATCCCCTTTTTAAAATCTACTGTCACTACAGCTTAAAAATAAAAACAGCCTTGGTCCTATTTTATCTTTAATTTTGTGGTGTGCCATTATCAGTTATAATACATACAGCTTTACACATATTACCGTCTTCAGTATGAATCTTAAAATCAGTGATATCACAGCTTGTTTTTCAAATGTAGTATAAGAAAATGGCACATCTCACATTTGACAATATCAAATTTAATGAAAATGCTGTGTTACAAAATGGTTTTCTTTGAACATATAACTAAAACATTTTCAGGTCACCGTTTTCTTACTCTGAGGCCTGAGTAATGAGAGGACAACCAGAGGTTAGTAAGTTCCTTTGGATGGGTGTGTAGCATAGAACCTCTTTGTCTGTAAACATTTCCTAGGGTTTTCAGTGCAAGCCAGTCTTTTGTCTTTGCCTGGCCGCTAACAAGGGTTAAACTCCATCCGAACCCTCTCACTATCAGACACAATGAAGAAAATGTGAATTAAGACAAGGGGAGAGTTGAGAGGACCTGGGCTGAGGCAGATCTAAAATGGAAACTGAAGGGTGAACACCACGGGGCTGGGTCCCTAAGGTTCCTGTGACCACACTAGGGGTGTTAGCAGCCCTGTGTGAGTCACCGAGTGCAGCCCCTCCACTGCCCCAGCCCTGCCCCTTTTTGAAAAGGCCATGTTGTCCTCAAAGAAGACAGAGGGGGAAGCACCACCAACAGCTGCAGCCAGACAGCTGTGTGTCTTAACTGTTGGTGTCATCGCATAGAAGCGCATGTGAGCTACAGTAAAGCAAAAGTAAAATTGTAAAACAGTAAAACAGCCTGAAAAATCAGGATTACAAAATATTTCAAAAATGGAGATCATTTTATAACTTCAAAGATGCATTTATAATTCATAGCCTCCTTCTGTTTTCTAATATTTTTTAAAAATTTTATTTCAGAGAGGAAGGGAGAAGGAGAGAGAGAGAGAGATAGAAACATCAATGATGAGAGAGAATTATTGATCGGCTGCCTCCTGCACACCCCCAAATTGCAACCTGGGCATGTGCCCTTCATTGAAATTAAACCGGGGACCCTTCAGTCTGCAGGCTGATGCCCTATCCACAGAGCCAAACAGCCAGGGCCGTCTCCTCCTTTTGTTTACGGGTAATGCCAGGGTTGTTTCCAGCATCTGTTTGTCTTCCAAACCTAAACAGCCATGCCCTGGGTGCCACTCAGACCTAGACACCACAACACAGCTCTGCATCCATGGTACGAGATTCTGTGATGCCTAGCCCTGGCGTGTGTGTGTGTGTGTGTGTGTGTGTGTGTGTGTGTGTGTGGAGTGAGAGAGGTGTCATGGGTGTTGTGAGTACCAAGCCTTCCAGAGGCCACCCAAGTGCCCCAAACGCCTAAGATTCATACTCTGTGTATCCAGGGGATATTTTGGAACGTTTTCTGCTTGTACTTCACAGGTGCAGCTGAGCATTACATGAAGATTTTGTATTTTTCTGTTTTGCCTCCTCTTCCACCCCCAGTTATTTGTATATTTGTTAATTTTAGAGAGGAATGGGGGGGGGGGGGTGATAGACATCAATTTGTTGTTTCTCTTATTTATACATTTGTTGGTTGCTTCTTGTTTGTATCCTGACTGGAGATCAAACCCACAACCTTGGTGTAAAGGGTAATGACCTAACCAACAGAGGTACCTGGCCAGGGCGAACTGTTTTGCTTTTAAATCAGAATGGTTTTCTCCCGAAACCATCATTACATAGAAAATTCCTCACCAGTATTTTTCTGCTCAGTTTTCTGATCTGTAAAGTGCATTGTGAATCAGTGGTTTGGAGAATAATGAAAATTCATTTCACATAGAAGCATCTCTGTAAACATTGCTTGTTATTTGCATTACACCAAGGGGGAGGAGGTTGAAATGCACTATTGTGGCTTTACCAACAGACCTTGATATTAATAATCTCAAAGACATCGCTTCTCTGTGTTAAGATATTTGTTGCTTTTTGCTCAATAAATGTTACAGTACATATGAAGCAAATTTAAAATAGTGTTAGAAAACCTGTTACTGAATTAAGTGTGTAACCAAGTTATTAGGTTTTATAATTTTGCGTTACATCCCTAATTGTAGTTTGCGCCAATATGGTTTTGATTGGCCTGGACCCTGCTCTCTTCAGTTTAAGGTTGCACATGGTGGCTGGGGTGGCAGCAAAGGCCACTCGGTTCTAAAGGCCAGTGGATTGTGCATGTCCTCTCTGACTGGCAGTGGAGTGGCCGGGGTCAGAAGTGAGTGTCCTAGGTTCTAGTTCTTTAGTTTAGTACCAAACCATGTAATATTTGCAGAGAGAAGAATCGGATGAAGAATTTCCCAAACTGCCAAAAATAGATTTGGAATGGGTAATTTGTTAGCTGGGGACTTGAAATACATATATATCTATGCGCGCGCGCGCGCGTGTGTGTGTGTGTGTGTGTGTGTGTGTGTGTGTGTGTATCTGTTTCTCTTCAACTGTCTTCAGTGTATATGTGTGTGTGTGCGTACAGACATACATCTTGTTTTAAAGAGTTATTTTAGCAGGTCTGTCATGAGACATGAAAATGCCTAAAGAAATGACTTGTAAAATATAGAGTGGATTGGTTATAGCAGGAACAGCAGAGGGGAGTTTATTTACAATCATTATGAAAGGTGAGGTTCTTCTGCCTTCCTCGGTGCTATAATAGAAAGTACTTTTGTCATCTTCTATTCTTCTCCAAGCTGCTGTCCTCGGGAGGCTGGTCCTGTGCCAGCTGGCAGGGAAGAGCTGGTAAGATAAGAGGCGCTGTTTTGTGGGCTTAACTCCAGAGCACCTGGGCCTTGTACCTGCACCCAGACATCCCCCACTCAGACTGTGCCTCCTCTTCTGTTCTCCAGAGTGGTTTCAAATGCCTTGGCCCCACTGCACATTTCACATGAGGTGTATTTAACCAGGGCTTAGTAGAAACAAATGTAATGATATTATTGAGTTCATGGGCACCAGTTGGCGTTATGTTGTGTGAATCAAGGCACGAAACGGGCGAGGGACAAGGATTGCTTAATATAATGATGACCATCACTAAATTCAAAACTGTTTCTAGGAGGCCTTAACGAATGTTTCTCTTCTCTTTCCTTCTCAAATGGCTGTTTCCTGACCCATCCTTCGCTCCAGGATTTACGCAAGCAGGTAGCGCCGCTGCTGAAGAGCTTCCAAGGGGAGGTAAGCGTTTATATTTATTTTATATCCTGAGCCACCCTTCATAGTTTATTGCACTTTCTTTTTATTTTCATTAAGTGAAAGCCATTAACAGAAGGCGCTTCCCCAGCCAGAGCTCTCCCAGCTGCACCGACCCAATGTCGTGCAGAGTTTACGCTTCCCGATGTGATGTTTCTACCGGGTGGATGGAGCTTGTTTGGACCACAGCCTGTGGGAGCTGAACTTCCTCGAGCTCACTGGGTCCCTGAGCTGTCAGGAGCCACAGCCAGGAGGCCTCCTGTGTGGAAGGGACGGAGTAGGGCGACCTGGTACTCTCATGTGCAGCCGTCAGGGGAAGAGGAATTTCACTTGATTGATTAATAAAAGACCAACAGATAGAAGTCACGAGGAATAAGTCTGAGCTCAGTATAAGGAAAACTTTTCTAATCTTTGCTTCCAGAGAAGGACAGGGCAAGATGGTGGGCGGGCTGCCGGTCATGTGAGAAGTACGCTCCCACCACCATAGAGTAATAGCCACAGAGAGGACAGGTGGTAGAGTTGGCCAACACTCCAACTCCTTCTCTATCTTTTTGGAAGAGACATGGTGGATTTTAGAAGGCCAGACATTTTGTTATTGGTGTGGAGTTATTCACTTGGCCCTTGGCTTCTCCTTTTGGGATGATGGAAGTAGTAATACTACCGAGGAAAGGCAGAGACTTCCTTAACGTCTTCTAAAGAGCTCGTAGTGGAGGATGTTCTCTCTTCAGAGAGAACAGGGAGAAGGAGCAGGATTCAGGGAGGTGAGGTGGCAGGTTCGGGAGTGACGTGAGGCTGTGGGGTGCCTCCTGAGACACAGCGCTAAGGAGGCGGGACTCCTTGGTTAGTTCCTCAGCATGCTGGTGGAACAGCAGAGGGAGAGGGCACGAATAAGGGTAGTAAGATAACAGTGGGATGCTTTCAAGGAGATTCCAGGACAGTGAGGGGCTTATGAAGAAAGACGAAGCAGCAGTGATGGCTGGTGAGCAATGAAGATTTTAGACCAGTGCATGGTGCCATTCTCTGTTCATAACTCCTGGCTGCTGGGAGCCCCTGAACCTGGCTCTGTAAGGCGCGGGGGATGTCACCATCCTGGGTCTGGGAAGGGCAGAAGTTAAGTGCCTTTCCCTCAGAAGTGCATCTCCGAGCCCTCATTCTGTGAGTGACTGTCACCTTATATCCACCCACATCTGATCTGATCTCTTTCTTTGCCTGTTCAGCAGCTTTTGTGAGGCCCAAGGCTTAGTGTTTCTCTACCTGAAATAGCTCTGTGTGATGTTTTCATTTACTTGTTTTTCTTTCTTTTAGAAAAAGTTCAAGTCTGCATAAAAGTAAAAATATTAGTATAATGACTACATGTACACCCTTTACCCAGACTCGCCACTTGTTAACATTTTGCCACATTTACTCCCCACTCTGTTGTTAAACATTAGGAAGTAAATTGTAGATGACACAGCACTTTACCCTTAAACATACATGTGTATCTCCTAAAAAGAATATTCCTTGACATTTCCACAATAACCCCGAGTATCCCACCTGAGAAAATTAACACTAATTCCATGATATCCAATATTCAGTCCAAAAATAAAATTTCCCTACTTATCCCCAAATTGTGTCTTAAAACTGCCCTGACCCCAACCAGGTTTCAATCAGGTTCATGTATTGCATTTGGTATATATATAAAATATATATTTATTTTTTATTCCATAACTATCCCCCCATACCCACCTCCACCCACTCCAACCCCCCATAATTACCACACTGTTGTTCGTGTCAATGAGTGTTTTCTTCTTCTTCTCCTCCTTCTCCTTTTCCTCCTTTTCCTCCTCCTCCTCCTCCTCCTCCTTCTCCTCTTCCTCTTCCTCCTCTTCCTCCTCCTCCTTCATCTTTTTTTCTCTCTCTCTATCTCCCCCCCCCTCTCTCTCAATGCTCTCTCCACTACCTCTTACCTTTGTTATTATTTTTTGTTCTAGATAGCTTAATGGGTTTGGTTCTAGATAGTAAATTTGAAATGCCTGAGAAACATCAAGGCTTTTTATTTGGCTATATTTTAATGGCTATTTATAAAGTAAAGATTTTTATAGTACCACTAATATTTAGGAAGCCTTTGCTAATTACTACACACACACATACACACACTGTGGTCCAAACAGTGAGGTTCCTCAGGAGGCAGAATTATATATATTATAAATATATATAATCTGTGTTACTAGCATGCTGATTGTAGTAGAAGGGACTAAATCCTGCTTGTCTCTGAAGAATGGGCTTTTATGCAGAGGGCAGCTGCAGATGGGGACCACACGTGTAGGGCTAGTTTTCTGCTGAGTGAGGCCAGAAAGCAGCCTGTCTTGGTGCTTTGCTGGAGCAGGACCCATTCAGCTTGCTTTTCTAAAACGCTGCCTTCTCTGATCAGAGGTTTGTTCTTATACCCTTCATTAGTGTTTGCTGAGTGCAGTTTTATTTATTGGATATATTATTTGAGTCATCCCAAGGTGCTTGAGTTCCCCTTGGAAAATTGTATAATATTAGAAAAAACATGTTCTTTGCCTCAGAATTCATAGAGATTACTTCTTTATTTGAGATCCCCAAAAGAAAAAAACAAAATAAAGCCTTCAGACAGCAGTAAATTCACACAAGACTTCAGTGTTCTTGCAAGTCAGGAGAAACATGAACCTCACTGGGCACCACTTTTAGGCCCCTCAGTGTTTTCTTGTTCTCGGGGTAAATCTAGGCACCTTCCTTCCTGTGGTTTATGAGACATGCATGATGGTAACTGCTTGCCTTTCTAGATTTTTCTTACTAGAAAGCCCATCACACAGCCATTCTGAATTTCTACGAGGCTCTTATGCGTTGAGTGTCCTCAGAAGCCTCCAAGCCTTTGAATGGGCTGTCCTCTTCCTGAGACACTCCTTCTCCCTTTCACGTCTGCTGCCTCACTTCTGCTTAAAGTCACTTCCTCAAGAAGAGCCTTTTCTGAACCTCAGTGATAGGCCAGGTCCCCTGTAGCAGGTGCTCCCATTGCACGCCACACTATTTGTGACCCATTTGTCATCATTCCTGAGAACTGCCTGTGACTTTGTCTCTGTTCCCCAGGAGTCTGTAAATGTGTGAAGGCAACTTCTATGTCCTGTCTTGGCCATTTGTATTCCCAGCACCTGGCATAGCAATTGGAACTAAAGTATTGGGCTCTCAGAAATAGTTACTGAATAAATGCTTGAACAGTGAGGTTCCTCAAGAGGCAGATTTTAAAACATTTGCCTTTATCTTTTCTTCAGGTTATGTGCTGCTAATAAGGTGAAAGGGACCCAGAATATATGCTTGGGAAATCCATTAGAAAAAACTAATAAATAACTGTATTTGTTGTCCTTGATTAAAAAGTTTGGGATGCTGGACTCATAACAATTACTTATAATTATTAGAGCAAAGTCATCAAATTTAGCTTACATTGAAATTAGATTTCTCTTAGTTTGTGTTTAACAAGCCCAGCCAACTGATTAGTGGAGATAGGAGGAGTAACCTAAATGGTCAATTCAATTTATGGCAGATTGTAATTTAGACAATCCCTTCAATGAAAAGACACTAACACTCTCTAGAAAAATGCTAACTCTTTCAAATTGTCTCCCTCTCTCCTGGCTTCTCTCCCTGAGAAGGGTCATGGTAAGGAGGGGTGAGGGGATTAGCAGTTGGCTTAGGCTCCCCTCTTCTTGGTAGGAAAGCAGGTTGCTTAAACCAAGTGTCCTCAGGGGGGAAAATCTCCTCTTAAATAACTCAGGTGCTTAGAGAGGAAATAGAAGAATGAAAAATTGATTAGCTTAGCATCCAGTTTAGATAATCATGACAGTACAATGGAAGAAGCTAAAAGAAAATAGAAAGAACTAGTCAAAAATTTTAATACTGTCTTAAAAACATATATGAATGAGAATGAATGAGAAAGAAAACAAAGAGCCAAGAGGGAAATAGCCCCAAAGTTGGTCCTTTGAAAAGACTGCAATAGACAAACTACCTTCCTAATTAATTTTTTTAAAAAATGTAGGAGTGCTAATAGAGATAACTTTGCAGCTACAGCAGAAATTAAAAAGAAAATAGAGTAATATTATAGTCAATTTTATGCCAATAAATTTTAAACCCTAGACAAAATGGACACATTTTTAGAATACTATAACATCAAAGCTGATTAAAGACGAAGTAGAAAACCTGAATAGCCTTACAGCCATTACAGAAATATTTCCACAAGTTCTAGAAATTTTTATGAGAGAATTCTATCAATCATTCATAAAATAGATAGTTCTGATCTTTTTCAAACTCTTTCAAAAAATAGAAAAAGAGAGTGCAGTGTAACCTTTATGTCAAAACTATACAAGAACAGTATAAGAAAGGAATATTGAAGTAGTTTTGTTTGTTTGTTTATTTAACAACACTAAATTATTATTTTATAAGTTTGAAGATCAGAGGTCCAAAGTGAATCATCTGTGCTGCAATTTTTCCAAAGATTTTAGGCATGGAATTTATTTCCTTGCTTTCTTTCAGCTTCCCAAGGTGGCTCACATTCCTTAGCTCATGGTCCAGCATCACTCTAACTTACGCTTTTGCTTTTTGTTTTGTTTTAAATAATTGTTTATTGTTGAAAGTATTACATATGTCCCCATTTCCCCCGCCATTGACCCTCTACAGCCCGCTCCTGACCCCCACCCCTCCTGCCTTCTGCACCCTATTGTCTGTGTCCATGGGTTATGCATATATGCACACATGGTCTTTGATTGGTTACCTCCTATCCACCCATCTTCCCCTGCATTCCCTCTGAGATTCCACACTGTGTTCCATGTCTCTGGATCCACTTTGTTTGTCAGTTTATTTTGTTACTTGGATTCCACACATGAGTGGGATCTTGTGATACCTATCTTTCTCTAACTGTCTTACTTCACTTAGCATGATATTCTCCAGGTCCCTCCATGCTGTCTCAAAGGGTAAGAGATTCTTATTTTTATACT